CATGAGTTTTTAATTCACAATCACTACAATTTGTCCTGTTACAAGTTTCAATTTCTATTTCTAATTATACTTTTTTATGATGTAATGTTCCTTTAGAAGAGGTCTTATCATTAAGTAATCAAAACGCTCAATTTATATCCCTTATAGTCTTTCTTTCAAGCTCTCTTTTCGTGATGAGCTTGAAGTAACTTCTATTACTTGGTACACACTGCGCATGTCAGCTCACGTCCGGTAACATATGGATGACAAGGCAGAGAACCACATACACCTTCTACAGGATACAACAGGGCACCATTGAGATTGGCATGGGTTCCTGGCACAGCCTCTGCATACTGATCAACACAAATGAAGTTTGACGCATGACCGTGATTCCATTTTTCAGTCATCAGATATCCATGGTACTCTCGTGACCATCCCGCGGGACACTCGTAAGTCGCAGGGATCATCATCTTGGCACTTCGTGTTGTAACGTAACACACGGCACACAGGGCATCGTGATCATGAAGGTTTCTTGTGAATGGGTTGAAAGAGGAAAGCTCGTATTCTGTACCATACATCGCTGCAATTTCCTGATAACCATCCTTGTATCTTCCATATCTTGGATTCTCAGGAAGACAAACGTAAAATCCTCCCCCACCCGAATCAGGATGATTTCCACTTCCAATACGTCCTAAATGATCATAAATAAACTTTGGCAATTTTGAAGTTTTTATACATTAATGTTCCTTATGATATATTTTGTTATCATTCAAATTAAACAAGGAGCAAATAGGTAAAATACCTTTGTAGACAAGTGTAGCACCCCAAGGACACGTGGTTCTTCCCCATCGTATATACTGTACCCCTCCTGGTCCACGATAACATCTGGGTCCTCTTGGACCTAGCTGTCCATTCCTTCCCGGCCTGCCCCTTACACCAGGCGCACCTGTTTAGGAAACGGAATCTTTTGTGAATTGTGCAAAGTATATGAATAATGTGTTGTATAGGTGTAGAATGTTTCTTGATTTTCGGCATTCGGCAGCACCATGCGATCATCAATTGTTCATTTATTAACCGGCTGGCTTGTTGTGTATTATCAGTGTTTTGTTTAGTATAGTAAGAATCTTATAGTTTTAAGCTAGTGTTTACCTGGAATTCCTGGTTTCCCGGTACGACCATCTTTACCTGAAAATTTTTTAAAAAAATACTCCGTGGTAAGCCATGTCAGTCATTGGCTCAGTCAGTGTCGTTTATTCTTTATCGTGTTTTTACCTCGAATTAATATCATTCTTTGGGTTTCTAGCTGAGCTACTCTGAAAAATAATAATTATAGACAGGTTAAGAGTCTGCTACTGTTAAACTCATGGTCACTTAATTAGCGATTAAGAAAAGCACATTTTATTAACATCAAGACTTCTCCGAGTTTAGGTCTTTGTTTAGTACAATGAAAAACACTCTCTATCCTGTGTTGTGTATCAATAAAAACCATCCCATTTTATTTTTTGGATTTGTTTTTTTGGTTGGTTGGTTTTGAGGAAGTATTAGAATGTATAACCTACCTTGCTTGCAAAGTCTTCAACAGTGTCATCATGTCCGATTGATTCTGTCCTAGAACTCTTTTCTCCATCTGACCTTCGTCTTGAATCTCACTTGTCTCCGCAGCACCACCTGCTACAAGAAGAACAGCTAACCCCAACAACACAGCCTTACCCGATGCTTGAGGAACCTGACTCATCATAATCAAGGTAAGCAGAGCTTAACTCGACAACCGTCTTGTTTGTGGGAGAAGCAGTGCCTCTTTGATATCTTCCTCTTGTTGTTAGACCTCTTCAGCATCATGATTATAATGTCATACAGGATTTTTCTTGATAGAACGAGAACGCGCTTTGAATTGCTAGTGTTATTTTTTCTCTAGATTTTTCTTCGTTGTCATTCAAATGCAAATTAATTTAACCCTACCCTGCTGGCAGAGTCTCAGAGTTCTCTCGCTCGGGAGAAATGAATTAAAAGGAGGTTCTGCCATTAGGGTAATTCAGCCCTTGTAGAAGCTTGAAGGTAAAAAATATATATATATAGTAAACTTGCTTTTCTTTTTTGATTCAAAAAGCAAACGAAAGGTTTGCTTTTCTTAAGCCAAAAAAAGAAATACTAGTGGTCATACTGTGAGATTATAATATATTAAAGTTCATGATCAGGCTTTCCATCGATGCAACTTACTTGGTCTAAACGCGGCAAACAGGAAACAAGGATTGGAAAATAGCAAAACCACAAAGATGTTCAAAAATATCTCAAAATGACACGAGGCTCACATCACATGTTGTAAAACAGACCAATTGGGTAACTGTCGTCATCAACCTATTTTAATTCATTTTATTTACAAGAAGAGAGTATAATTGGAACAGTGGCGAAATTACGTCGTTAATCATTTTGTTAGTAAATCTAACATAGAAAAGAATGCGCATCATTTGTCCTCACCTGGACATCTTTCTTATAAATTCTTTTCATTTCAAATATCTTCACGCACTAGAAACTGTTAGGACTTTCAATCTTTATTTCTTGATGCGTCAAAGTGAATTCACAGTTGTTTTTCTGCCCCTACCCTGGAGGTATTGACCTAACGTCCCGCTGTGTTGTGTGTCTATTGAGATACGAAGAAGAATGGATGGATATATTTATAAATGTTTTATGCTCATCATCTGATATATTTTCTTTCTACTTGATTTTTCGGGATTTGACTACACTTTACCTTACATTTGCACTCTATATTTCATTCACTCGTGCAGTTAATCTTTTATGTTACTGTTTCGTGGTTCATTATCAATAATAAAATGAATAATGAATAATAAAATGATTCTGTGAGCTGCAAGAACTTTTAATTTACAAGTTACTAAAAATTGTCCGATTACAAGTACTGAAAAAATTCTGATTAACGCTTTTTCTGAAGATGAATTCTTCCCTTGAAAGAGGTCTTTTTAATAATAATGGRATGAAAATGTCTAATTTAAGTCCATATTTTATCTCTTGTACTCTTTCTTTTGATCTTTCTTTCTTGGATAGCATTAAAAAACTTCTTTTACTTGGTACACACTGCGCATGTCAGTTCTCTTCCCTCAACATATGGATGACAAGGTAGAGAACCACATACACCTTCCACCAGATGCAATTGAGCACCATCTCGATCAGCACTTGTCCCTGGAACTGCTTCTGCATGCTGATCAACGCAAATAAAGTTTGATGTATGATGGTACCCAGAAGGTTGTGACATCAGGTATCCATGGTACTCTCGTGACCATCCCTCGGGACACTCGTATGTCGCAGGGATCATCATCTTGWCACTTCGTGCTGTAACGTAACATACAGCACACGGGGCCTCGTGATTATGAAGGTTCCTTGTGAATGGGTTGGTATGCAACTCGTATTCTGCACCATACATTTTTGCACCTCCTTGAACACCGTCCTGGTAACTTCTGTATTTAGGATTCTCAGGAAGACAAACATAATCAGCACCCCCACCATGGTTACTAACGTGTCCTCCTCCAATACGACCTAAAATAATTATAATTAAATAACTCGGAATTTTTTATTTCGTTAATAGAGTGCAAACAATTAATCCGTGAAACACTAATTACTAAATAGTACAAAATAGTGCTAATTAACAATAGAAAACAATCGAATTTGCATGAAATTGTGCTATTTAGTATTACTAAATTCTTTATCACGGTTATATTGTTTGCACTCTAATCCGTATAACTATAAAAAGTTATAAAGCTATTTTGGAAAAACGTTTTGTTGCGTGCTGCATCAGATCCAAGCACGGAATATAGACGATGCAAACCAATCATATATAACTCATAAACGACAAACACTGAAAACGGCAAGTTGAAATTGTACGAAAATTGTTCAAAAAACATCAAAACTTTCATCTTTACTTATAATCCGATCTTCGTTGTATTACTTTTTTTGTTATCACGATGGACTCTTGTTCATATTTCAACATCTAACCCTTGTATAGTGGATCTTGACATACCTGAACTACGAGATTTGTATATTTAGATTTATAAGATGAAAGATAACGAACAAAAAGAACGAGCAAATAATGAACGAGAGAGTAGGGAATGGATGGATGCATGGCAGGAAGGATGGATGGAAGGGTGAGTGGGGGAGTGAGTGAGTGAGTGTGTGTGTGAGTAAGTGAGTAAGTGAGTGAGAAAAATAAGTGAGTAAGTGATGAAGGAAGGGAGGCAATATCGGAAAGGCCTACCTTGATAAACAACTAAAATACTCGAAGGACATGTGGTTCTTCCCCATCGTACGTACTGTACCCCTCCTGGTCCACGATCACCTTTTGGTCCAAGCAGTCCTTGCTGTCCAGTATTTCCTGGTCTACCAGTCATGCCAGGGGCACCTATTGGTATCATAAGGGACAGATTTACACTTGACTTTCAAGTTCCCATTAAGGACACAGTTGACTCCTTTTAATTATCAATCGTTTTTTAGATCAATTTGTCTTTCTTATCATTCCAGTCATAAACATCTTCTCTATTTACGAATATATGGTAATAATGCATCTTTTCATTCGTTATCAAAACAGCCAAGGGAATGACACGTGACCTAAATTATTGAAAAGCTCTATGCTTATGAGGTAAGAGATCCCGTTAATTCACATATTTTTGGTCGAGCAGTTGTCATGATCTAGAATGGACCTGCATGTAAATGCAATGTATCGATCGATTTCAAGCTGGACTTTCTGGAATTCCATTGGTATCATGAGATACAGATATCAGTTCACTTAACTTACAAGTTTCTAAAGATTCAACTGAGAATCTACATTATTAAATGTTTTGAACAATTTTTAATCCGTAAATTTTWTTAAATTAACCTGGACTTCCTGGCATTCCATCGCGACCATCTCGCGATCCACTCTGGTAAGAAATTAAATGGTTTTTTTAAGTCATAGAATTCTCTAAATAATATATGAAATACCAAGATATGATCAATGTAATGGTTAAACGATTGAATGTACAATATCTACTGTTACATTGTTTTGGGTATTAGCACCACAGAGACAACAATTATCAAAAAGGAAGGTTTATGTGTTTGCATCCAGAATTTTGAGCACTGAGATCTCCTTAGTAATCACTCATCGCTGTCATATCCACGAGTTTTACAAGTTTACAACAATTTTATTTTGTCGATGCCCTGAAACAACCTCTGGGCTGATCGCAAGTCAAGGCACAGATAACACACAGAATGAATTGGAATTTATCGTGTTTGGTTCTTGATGCTTTCAGTGAAAAGACTTTCTTCAGCAATGTTTCCAATACCCAAAAATATCATATGTATATAATATACATATTTATTATGCCGACTCAGTTGGTGTGCGTCCATCAGTCAAGCTCATAATATCGGTATTTTCACTGCGTAACATACCTTGCTTGCAATTTCTCCAAAAGTTCCATCATTTCCGTCTGATTCTGTCCTTGATCTCTGTTCGTGAGACTCGTACCTTGCACCTCATGTACCTCTAGAACACAAGCCACCAAGAAAAGAATCACTACTAACAACAGCAGAGTCTTACTTGGTGCCATTTTCGCCATGGTAAACTGATCTGATCTATTCTGACCTCGTACTTGTACTTAAAGCCTACTAAGAAATTCAAATTACTTCCGCTTTTTCTTCAGAATTTGTTTCAACTTGAATTTATAATTCCTTTATGTTTTATTATCAGTGAAAGAGGTTATCTTAATGTCCCATAGTTTGAGAATTACAAGTAGTCTTGTCATAACTGGACACCATGATCAACAGCACCGCTATTTGGGAAGTATTCGGCGACTTTATCTACACAGATGTATTCTGTAGTATGTTTGTTTTCAAATTGTTTTCAAACAAATTCACTTCGTCGATCTAGTCTGACCTCATATACTCTGTATTTAAAACGTACTAAGAGTTTCAAATTACTTCGGCTCATTTTTTCGTTTGTTTATGGCTAGCGTGGATGCCTGAGGTTAATTAAAACACTTAGCCTCAATTGCAATCAGCCTCAGTTTTGCATCGAGTAATTTTAGAGCATCATTGACAACTTTTTAAAATCATTTTTTATACTATATGGCAGTTTCAATTGATCTGAACATAATGGTTTCATGGGCTCAAGTTACTCGTGAAATAGTGGTCAGTCATAAACAAGAAAGGAAAAATATTGCTATGGTTATCGCCTTATTAGGGAAGTTTGTCAGTTCGAGAAGATTGTTTACGAAAAAGTCGCAATCACATTCAACAATCCATAGTTCTCAGTGGCCCCCCATTGCGCTCCAAAATTTCCGCTTTCCATTTTATGTATTCTTTTCGGACAAGAGAAGTATTTGAGAAATATCGTTWAAAATTGTATAACTGCGCGCCATGTTACAAAATAACAATTTTTTTGTACACCAATTTCAAGTTTCTCTGATACAAATTTGTTGACTAGGAAGAAATAAAAGCATCACTCACTCTTTATCTTACTGATTTCTTTCTTTTCTATTGGAGAATTTCTGTTGTCGATACTCTTTACTATTAAAACCAAATGATAATTACTGTGTAGTTAGTTTCCAACCTCTCGTCTTCTTCTGTTAGTGAACTAAATATCCCCTTATGAGACACGAGAGAAAACAAACCCACCAACTTATGGTTAGCAGCATGAGTTTTTAATTCACAATCACTACAATTTGTCCTGTTACAAGTTACAATTTCTATTTCTAATTATATTTTTTATGATGTAATGTTCCTTTAGAAGAGGTCTTACTCATCATTAAGTAATCAAAACGCTCAATTTATACCCTTATAGTCTTTCTTTCAAGCTCTCTTTTCGTGATGAGCTTGAAGTAACTTCTATTACTTGGTGCATACTACACATGTCAGTTCTCTTCCCCCAACATATGGGTAGCAAGGCAGAGAACCACACACACCTTCCACGGGATACAGTAGAGCACCTTCTCGATCAGCACTTGTCCCTGGAACAGCTTGTGCATTCTGATCAACACAAATGAAGTTTGATGAATGACGGTGTTTATGATATTCACTCATAAGGTATCCATGGTACTCTCGTGTCCATCCAGCGGGACACTCGTAAGTCGCAGGGATCATCATCTTGGCACTTCGTGTTGTAACGTAACACACAGCACATGGAGCGTCATGATCGTGAAGGTTTCTTGTGAATGGGTTGTAATAGTATAGGTCGTATTCTGTACCATACATGAACGCAGTGTTCTGGTAGCCATTCTTGTACCTTCCATATTTKGGGGTCTCAGGGAGACACACGTAATTAGCACCTCCACCTGAATGAGTATAGCGCTCGCCTCCGATACGACCTAATTTTAAAATGATCATATTTAAGTCACTCTTAATATTTTTTATCTGTTTGATCTCATTTCAAACATTGTTTTATTTTCATAATATATCCAACTCAACTCTTAGTAAGAGGTTAAATTTAAATCTTCAACCTTTCTACAAGAGTCGTATAATCCGAGATGATCTCAAATTGAAAGTCCAAACCACCCTTGGTTAGTCAAAAATCTCTTGTGTACTTATTTAAATATGGTCAGTGTGATGCTGACTATGTTGGCTACATGCGCCGTCACAATCGACAGACACCTGAAGGTTAAGCATGGTTTCAAGATTCTTTGACCTTACAATGATGGAGGTCTTTTTAAAGACAAAATCAGTAAAACACACGTACTACCAGAGTGATCACAGAAATTAATTGAGATCTTTTACCTCGATCGATTGCGAGCACCTCGAGCTTAATATCTTGTTGGAACATAAAGAGTAAACGCCGAGCAAGTTAGTAATTTACCTTTGTAGACAAGAGAGGCACCCCAAGGACACGTGGTTCTTCCCCATCGTACGTACTGTACTCCTCCTGATCCGCGATAACCTCTGGGTCCTCGTGGTCCTACGGATCCTCGTGGTCCTACGGATCCTCGTGGTCCTACGGATCCTCGTGGTCCTACGGATCCTCTTGGTCCTCGCCATCCATTCCTTCCTGGTCTACCAGGCTTACCTATTTAGAAATGAGTGTTGGTTGGTTGGTTGACATTTACTGGAAAAACCACTATCGTTTATAATTGTATTCTCACCTCGAATTAGTATCATTCTTTGGGTTTCTAGCTGAGCTACTCTGAAAAATAATTATAGACAGGTTGAGAGAGGATGCTACTGTTAAATTCATGGTCACCTAATTAGCGATTAAGAAAAGCACATTTTATTAACATCAACAAAAACAGCTATCGTAAGAGACTGACTGTTGGTGGGTTGGTGGGTTGGTGGGTTGGTGGGTTGGTGGGTTGGTGGGTTGGTGGGTTGGTTGGTTCTGTTTAGTAAACTAAGGAAGTTATCCTTTTCTGCTAATTTACCTGGAATTCCTGGTTTCCCGTCACGACCATCTTTACCTGAAATTTAAAAAAACAAATGGCGTACATTAATGACATTTACTGGAAAAACCACTATCGTTTATAGCTTATTGTATTCTCACCTCGAATCAGTATCATTCTTTGGGTTTCTAGTTGAGCTACTCTGAAAAATAATTATAGACAGGTTGAGAGAGGATGCTACTGTTAAACTCATGGTCATCTAATTAGTGATTAAGAAAAGCACATTTTGTTAACATCAACGAAAACAGTTGTCGCAAGAGACTGACTGCATGCTATTTCAGTCTCTCTCTCCATTCTCCATGTCTACGGCAAGCTAAAACTAGGATTTTCAGTAGCATCTCTGCTTTTCAATTTCTAGCCCAAAACATGTTGGATTGTGTTACGGTCACCAAAGAGTTCGGACATCGTTATCGGATTCCCATACAAATTCACTGAATTTAGGTAAAATATTCAGATCGATTTCTTTAGTTACTTTTCTAAACAGCAGGAAGAAGAGCTTCAATCAAGTTAGAGAAATGGTATTTAGCTAGAGAGCTAACTAAAAAAAACCCTAGTAAATAATTTGTTTAAAATTCAATACAATCGTGCGGAAATAAGAATGTCCGAAGTTCTTGGTGACCGAAACACAATCCAACACGTTTTATACCACATGATGGCTAGCGCTCAGTGGAATTAACCGACATAGTAGTCACTTCTTTGTTTCTTCGATTTACTATAAAGCCTCTTAAAAGTTCTATTACTATTTTTGTAAGCTTAGCAGCTTCGCTCCGCCTTTAGTTTCTTAGAGATATAGGCCGGTAGTTGGTCACAAGAGGGTATACCTATGTAACCTGTTTACAGGGTCCATTTACTTTCAAAACGACCATGTATGTTCATGGATGCTAAATCCCATTTTATTTTTTCGGATTTTTTATTTGGCTTTGGTTTTGAGAAAGATTTAGGATTACCATACCTTGCTTGCAAAGTATTCAACAGTGTCATCATGTCCGATTGATTCTGTCCTCGAACTCTTTTCTCCATCTGACCTTCGTCTTGTATCTCACTTGTCTCAGCAGCACGACCTGCTACAAGAAGAACAGCTAACACCAACAACACAGCCTTACACGATGCTTGAAGAACCTGACTCATCTTAACCAAGGTAAGCAGAACTTAACTCGACAACCGTCTTGTTTGTGGGAAGCGCTGCTCTGAACTCTTTCTTTTATCGTCGAACCTTTTTTGTTCTTTTGGCAATATTGAACATTATGCCAGACAGGAATTTTCGTGTACTAAACTCGAATATAATTGTTATTCGAGGGTGCTACTTTGAACTCTTTAAGTCTACGTGATTGAGAGAATCACGATGCCCTCCCCTCCCCCCCTCCTGAAGTTCTCAGGGTTTGATGAAATCGGTGTTGTTGTTTTTTTTATCCGGCCGCCATGATACAAGGAAAGTATTAATTTAGTAAATGCTGTCGTCATTGTTACATTATGTTTGTTAAACTGTTAGATTTGATACACTTAATCTTTTGTGAATAGACTTTGTAAGGTCTTTCTTCGGGGATTTTTCTCTAGCTTCTTCGATTTTCGCAAAACCAAACACTATACGCTAAATCCCAATTCGATCTGTGAGTGAGTYGTGCCCTAACTTTGATTAACCCAGAGGTTGTTTCAGGGTTTGATGATATTTGAAAGGTATGCCGCTTTGATTGCAACCTCGTTGTTCAGAGGTTGTTTCAGGGTTTGATGATATTTGAAAGGTATGCCGCTTTGATTGCAACCTCGTTGTTCAATTCTAGCGATGTTTGATATAAAAGCTACACGTTTGTTAACGAATGTGAGTCTTGGTTAAAGAGTGTAAGGATGAGGGGGGAGGGGGGCAGGTCTCACTGATTGGAACAGTTTCAAAATACTTGGGGTGGGGGCAGGGGAGCCAAATTCCCCCAACGTACCCCCTCTACGGTCGTTGACTCAATATGCCTTCTTTTATATATCTTTTCACCTGTTTTGTCGAAGGACACATTTATTAGATTTATTTTTAAAAATCAAGCTTAGGCAACTGGATATGACTAGAAATTCAATTTGAAGCACTTTTTTAAAAGAAATCTCCTTGTATGTTTTCCATCAAGAGACCATGAAGGACAGAGTCCTTCGTGATTTTTGTTTCTATGTTCTCTTCCTGTTGTTTAATTATACACGATGTTCGTCTTTTCATTTCTGATAGACAAAAGAATTTTTATGTTCGTCTGTTTTGTTAAGAATTATTTCATTTAGCAGACCATTTTGTACAAAATGAATTCGGCGTTGTGTACATGTTTATATATGGTTACTTTATCTAGTACTAGTCCTTGAAACCCACTATAACATTATATTACATTTTCTCTATTTATTTGATATTGGTTTCAGAAACCTTTGTTGTACCATGATTTTAAATACCGTTCAGTTGGTGTTCAGTGTATATATGGTTACTTTATCTAGTACTAGTCCTTGAAAWCCACTATAACATTATATTACATTTTCTCTATTTATTTGATATTGGTTTCAWAAACCTTTGTTGATTTTAAATACTGTTCAGTCGGGTGTAAGCGTATTATTTGATTAGGAATTGGATTAAAGTGCCTCAAAATTAATTGCGAGTGAATATCGAAATGTGTCTAAATGCGTTAAAAACATTCAGATATTTCTGAATTTAGAAAATGTAGTAGCTCAAAACATTTAGGCTTTTAACTTTTTATTAAAAAACTAACCATATGAAAATAATGCAGTTCCTTGACTTAATTTAGAGTTCCGACTTCCCTTAGTTACCGTTGCTATGTCAGAAAGGTCAACAAAATATCTAGAATATCTCAGAAATTAAAACTCTGATCGCGGAAAATGAAACATAAATTGCTTCAATGTCCCGAGAAAATAGAAGAAAATTGCCTCGTAACCCTCGTAGGACTTTTTAAAACATATCCTGTATAGTTGTCTGTGGGACAAGATTTTAATTCCACTGAGATAACTGCTGCAACGGTGATTGGTTCACTATTGTCTGGGTCGGAACCATGAATTCAAACAAGCAACGCGAATTTTCCTGTACAGATTGATATTGTTAGCTAATAATCAACTAGCTGTTTATTCTATTTTCTTTTAATGTCATATCAAAACAATTGCCGACACAAAAGACATACACATCTCAAGTTATTCAAATGAACTTGCCCTTCAAAAAAATCTTGGATATTTTGGGAGGCATGTCTGGTGTGCGCTGCTGAAGATCCATCTTTTCACCATTTTGAAAGACTTTGATTACAAGGCTCGATTCCTATTAGCGGAAGTCTTAGAAATATATATATAACAAAATACTGCCCGTCATGTGCTATCGACGAGAAAGTATCCTATTGCTACAAAGTTGCCGGGTATCAATTAGCTAATCTCATTACCAGCTTTTAGTGAAAGACAAATACTGCCCTTCACACTCAATTATTTATTGGAAGCTCCTGCCTCCTGTCATGGCTGCCATCACGTGATGGTGCAAAGCCTTTATTGGAAACTTAATAGCCGACTTATTTTCTCTTTAGATTTAAGAAATTGTTAATAATCGCTTCAGATGTGTTTGACCTACACTCCAATGGTTATGTGACTCTGAACGTCGCTTTAGGTCACTTTAGTGCATTTCTCATCCCTAGACTGACAACAGGACATTCATTTGTCCCCACTGATGGACTAGATCTGTTATCTCACATACTTTCTCTTCGTTCCAATGATTACCGGCTGTTCATTATTCAACCCCTTCTTTCATCTGTTAGTGAACATATCCCCATATGAGACACGAGAGACAACAAATGTACACACCAATATTATGTTAGCTAAAATATCTTTTCATTTACACGATCACTACAACTTGTCCTGTTACAAGTTACGATTGTTGATGAATACCTTTTCTTAAGGTGAATTTTACTTGTAAGATGTCTTCCTCATCATTAATTAATCAAAATGTTTTAATTTTAAATCCTAGTTCTATCTATTAAAAGCTTTCTTTCGAGCATTATTTCTTTGATGAGCTTAAGGAATACTTTTACTTGCTACACACTGCGCATGTCAGTTCTCGTCCATCAACATATGGAAGACAGGGCAGAGAACCACACACACCTTCTACGGGATACAGTAGAGCACCTTCTCGATTAGCAATTGTCCCTGGAACAGCTTCTGCATTCTGATCAACACAAATGAAGTTTGATGAATGAGAATGCTTGTACCTTTCACTCATGAGGTATCCATTGTACTCTCGTGTCCATCCCGAAGGACACGCGTAAGTCGCAGGGATCATCATCTTGGTGCTTCGTGTTGTAACGTAACACACAGCACACGGGGCATCGTGATTGTGAAGGTTTCTTGTGAATTGATTAAAGCGGCTAACTTCATATTCTGTACCATACATGAGCGCAGTGTTCTGATAGCCATTCTTGTATCTTCCATATTTGGGGGTCTCAGGAAGACACACGTAATTAGCACCTCCRCCTGAATGACCATAGCGCTCGCCCCGATACGACCTAAAATAATCAAACTTAAATCACTTAATATTTCTTATCTGTTTCATCTCATTTCAAACATTGTTTTATTTCATGATATATCCAGCTGATCTAAAATAGCGACGTCGATTTGACGTCACACTTCAAAACCGAGGTGCCATGAAGACTGAGAAAACTGAACAGCAAAAAATAAAAACCTGTCCACCATTGCAATAAAAATGTACAACTCATTAGTGATTGTGTTACTGTTATCAATCACTTATTAGTAACGTTTTTTTTTTTTTGCTTGATGGCCTGGAAATTAAGAGGGAAAAAAGTGACATCTCAGTTTTCAAATGTTCTCGATTCTGATTGGCTAACAATTTCTTTTCTTACAGTGCTCCCGTTTAATCTTTGAAACAGCAAAAAATTTATTTCAGTCCTTGGAAATAAACAGTGAACACCAAGCAAGTCAGAAGTTTACCTTTGTAGACAAGTGAGGCACCCGAAGGACACGTGGTTCTTCCCCATCGTACGTACACCACTCCTCCTGGTCCACGATAACCTCTGGGTCCTTGTGGTCCATTTCTTCCCGGCATGCCCCTCACACCAGGCGCACCTATTAACATTAATAAATTAATCATCAGTATTAGTTTTTCCTTTTGGTTTTCATGGTAGTCTTCAGGTTTTCTTAAGTTTTCTTTTGCCTCTTCTTTCTAGTAAATTCCATTGACTTACCCTAGGTGGTAACTTCGACTCGAAAATTGGAACTTTCTTTGCGCATAAACAAATTTAGCCTGACTGCCTGTCTGTCTGTCCCTCGATTTTTGTAGTTTATATTTTCAGTGATCATCTATACTTAAGTTATTTATCTCTTGGTCCTGGTGATCCATTTTTGCCATCACGACCATCTTTGCACGTCAAACATTTACCTTCAAAAAGAATTGCATTCGTAGTGACTGAAGCTGCAACTCCAGCTTAATTAAAAGCATTGAGGCGACGGTCATTGTTTATCTGAGAAAGTGCCAGTAATAAAAGAATGTGGGTTTGAACTAGTTTTGGCCGCCATTGACTCAAGATAGATTATTTGAGCCGGAGGGGGTTCTAAAATGTTTAGCTTTACAAATGCAAGGACTAGAAAGAAGTTTCTTCATTCCCCACACGCTTTTCATTTTCATTAACAATGGACAGTTTCTTAGCTCTTACCTCTCAAAATTAGTCGTTCCTATTATTTTTCTAACCTGGCGTTCCTGGCATTCCTGGCAGGCCATCGCGACCATCTCTACCTGAAATAAAGTCCAGTTAAAAGTCAGTTATAACTGAACAGTTCATGCAGGAGGCAAATGTTGAACTAAAGCGTTTCACCTCGAAGGAATACTATCTTTGCTTCCAGTTTTTCCATTCTGAAATAAAGATAAATATAGATTGTGAATTTTCTGAATTTTGAAACCTTGTTGAAACGTTTTTTACACCACGTGATCGAAGTGCAACCAGTTGTTTATCACGTGGTATAAAAAAACTTGTACACTTGGTACAACATTGGCATCATGTTCTCGATTTAAAATGCATTTGGGGTTAATATAACAGACGCTACGAAAAAGAGTACTAAGTAAATCYCTCCAAAATTTTGGTTGCGCGCACTTTTTAAAAACCGCTCCATTGATTAATGAAGAAGAAATACTTGAAACAGTAGAAAGTTTAAGAGCAGAGTTTCTTCCGATATACAACACAAAGGACATCAGTTTTTAGGAGAAAATAAAGAATCTAAATTTTGTACATGTTTTGTTGTTCAATAGTCGATAAATGATAGGTTCCTAAACTCCCTAGATATAACACGTAACCTTTGAAAACTTGAAAGAGATATCAGTCCTTAGATAATCAATCATCACTGTCATCCACAAGTCTTTAAACATCAAGTTTATCGCACCTCAAACACCCTCTGGACTGATTCAAGTTAGGGCACATCTAACGCACAGATTGAATAGAAATTTAGAATGTTTAGTCCTAGGTTATTTCACAGAACAGCTTTAGTTGGTAAACAACTACCGTCAACGATGATTCCAGTACCCAAAAGCATCAGAAGCACATAACAAGAGAAGATTTCCATACAGAACGTAGTTGGAATGCGTTCATTAGTCAAGCTCATGACACCGATATTTTCACTACGTAACACTACCTTGCCTGCAATTTCTTCCAAAGTTCCATCATTTCCGTCTGATTCTGTCCTTGATCTTTGTTCGTGAGACTCGTACCTTGCACCTCATGTACCTCCAGAACACAAGCCACCAAGAAAAGAATCACTACGAACGACAGCAGAGTCTTACCTGAAACCATTTTCGCCATGGTAAACTGAACTGATCTATCCTGACCTCATACTTTGTACTTAAAGTACACGCGATTCAAATTACTTCCTCATTTTTCCGTTTGTTTATGTCTTGTGTAACGTGAGCTTCTTAAGGTTTCATTGTTGGGTTCAGGAGAGGATTAAAGTAGGTCAACAGGCCTTTATTTCGGCTCATATATTTTTAACTACTAAGGCTCTCTTTGGATTAACGAAATAATTTTTTTATATTTTTCTTGGCTCCGTCACAAAATTAACGTCCTCTGCTTTATAGGCACATTGTTGTCTGTCGCTGAGTTAAAAACGCAGGCTCCTATCTCCGAATTGTCTCCGAATAAGGTGAATTAACTAATCGAGAGATGATGGAAAATCGTGGAAAATCTTTTCCCAATCAAGTCCGAGTAAACGCATTCATTGTAATGTAGTTATTGCTGTTGTGGTATTTATTTGTATACACACTCACAAACAAACCCACAGGAACGCATAGATGAACACACTCTTTGATGCACATTCTTTAATGCCCTTTATCTCTTATCTTTAATCTACAATAAAATCTTCGCTCTTACATTTACATTATGTTTTTACCTTTTACCCGAATACTCCATTATTTAACTTCATTAACGTTACATAGTAACCACCCTAAAAGTGACAATTTCAGTTTCCTATACTTAGATTGCTTATCAATATGGGAGGATCCATCTTTGGCTTGTGGTTTACTTGGTACACACTGCGCATGTCAGCTCTTGACCATGGACATAGGGACCACACGGCAACGAACCACAAACTCCTTCAACTGGGTACAACAGGGTGCCATGACGGCCTGTACTGCTTCCTGGGACGTACTCCGCATTCTTGTCGACACAGACATACTCTGTGGAATGTGCTTGGTTGTACTTTTCACTCATCAAGTATCCCCAATATTCTCTTGTCCATCCCGCGGGACACGAGTAAGTTCCCGGGACCATTAACTTTGTRCTTCGGGTCTGGACGCGGCAAATGGCACAAGTAGCATCGTGGTGGTGCAAGTTYTTTTTGTTCAGTGGGTTGAAGGAGCTCAGCTCATATTCCGCGCCGTACATGTATCCTAAACCTTGGATGCCACTTTTGTAGCTTGAATATCTAGGGTTYTCAGTAAGACAGACGTAATTAGCACCTCCACCAGATTGTGAGAAGTGCGTGCCTCCAACGCGACCTTCAATTCAATCAATTTAACATTAATTCCATCTCCTACTTGAGTAGTATAGGGGATGGGGGTTCCAGCGCAACGACCACCGGAGGATTACCCGTCTAAAGTGAGTTCCTCGATTCGTACCGCGATTACCCGCATCCCGTGTTTATGTAGTTAAATATGTTAGTCTATATATGGAGTGCGAAGAATGTAAGAGAACTTTTAAGAAAGAAGCGGATTTGAAAAAGCATTCGAAAATGAAGACGAAGTGTATGAGCAGTTATGATTGTGGATGTGGTAAGAAGTTTGAGACTAAGGTTAAATTGTTTTGGCATTGTCAGGA